CTAAATCCTGATATATATTCATACATATATCTCTCTATATATATATCTATATATTACATATATAGATATATATATATATAGTGTGTATGTACATATATACACACACATATGCATATACATATATACATGAAAACTAGAACCGTGCACTTGCTTATTGGATTGTATTGGATGTGTGACTTGTACAGCCGAGACCTTATCGAGACGGACTATGTCTCACGCAATGTGCCAAAACAAACATTCCCACTTTCCCTTTGTAACAACTGACCAAGTGTTTTCTTAGAACCAAAGTTTGGAGAACTGGCTCATGCATATCTGCTTGTAACATAGCTGTAGAAATGTTTTTCTTTTTTTTTCTGGTTGGTGAGGGAGGGTGTTTGGAAACTGACAAAGGAGAGGACGTGAGAGCATAAAGGAGTAAACTCAGAAGGCAAGGAGAGAGGTTCAGGGGGCGTAAAAGTTATCACTGTGGCTTATCCAAGCAAAATCCACAGGTGAAAATATAAATACCTCCTAATCAAAGACATTGGTTTCTCCTGCATCTCAAATCCAGATTATATTAAAAAAAAGAAAAAAAGAAAAAAAAGCATAACAAAGGAAAAACACTCTAAAAGAAAGTGAAAAGAAGAAGAAACTGTTTGATCAGTCAACTGTTGTAACAGATTATCAACTAGCAAACAAGCTATAACACAAATCACAGCAATGTTTAAGCTGCAATCCTTTCATTTCCACATCAGGCTCTCTAAATGTACAATGCAAACGATACCGTTAACAGCAACAGACGATAGTTATGGCAGAAGCAACGGTTAAGGTTTTGAAAATAATATACAATGTGCTGCTTTTTCTGTTCAATATTTTTTTATTATTAATATTATTTCTTTCAGCTGATTGGCCAGTCCTTGTTGGATTGAGGCAAAAAATAGAGAGGGCTTAGTAGGTTTTTCATATATAAAAATATATATCTATATCTGAGCACTGGATTTTAATTTTGTTTCCTTAGAGCAGTATTTAAATTAGAAAATGTTAAGATCATCACCAAGCTGTTCAAAAGGCATTTCTAACGGGGTGTTGAGTATTTTTTTTAAATTTTATTTTTGGTGTGTGTGCGTGATCTTTTGTTACATTTAATTTTGCGCTACCCAGAGAAGAAACAATAATGTTATTAACCTCTTTGATTCCATATACTTACAACACAAGTCTTAGAGAAGCGGATCTTTTCTCACAGGAAATTATTGGGGTTAGCTTGCTGGAAAAAAAATTGCTGTTGCATTTTTGTTTTTCTTCACTAGAATTGTTTCTGTTGTTCATTATTGTTCTATTGGTTGATGTTGTTACTTACTGGTTGCGCAAATTAGAAAACAACTGGTAGGGAGACGCTTAATTTTGTAGTATTAAAGCACTTTTTTTTTTCAAAAGCCGAGTTTAAAAAAAATATCATAACTAAGCAAAAGGATAAAAAAAAAAAAAAAAAAACAGAGAAAGAGAAAGGTGTGTCTTTGATCTTTAGCATTATAGGAATATTTATGTTAATGTATATTAAGCTGAAAATGACAAAAATGTATTTGAGCGTGTTAATTATATATGTATCTGTGTTTATAGTTATAACTGTGTGTGTATATGTGTGTATACACATATATATATGCATATATGTGTATACACACAAGTGTGTATATGCATACAAATATTTTACTGTGTATATATATGTGTGTATATATATACAATAACTATATGCATACACATACTTTATATGAGTTTTTTTTTCTCCAGATGAATGTATTTTTACAGAGAAAGAGAAAATTTACCGATATTGGAAACATTTACAAACCAGCATTCCATGCCAATTCTTAATAACCTATCAGTCTGAAAAAGGACATAGGCATTTTTTTTTTATTTTACCTAAAGTTTATTTGCATTTGCTTTATTTTTGTGTGTTTTGTCTTTGTACTGGTTGATGTGAGTTTGCGTGCATAGGTATTTGTGTAAATGTGTTTACGTGTGTGCGCGTGTATGAACACAGATACCCTAGTGAATTCAGAGTTAAGCATGGCTCATGCCACTTGCTTTGTTCAGTTAATGGAGGAAAAGTTTTTATTTATTGTATGTTTCTGTGTTTGTTTATACACTTGGCCCGCAGAAGAGACCTGTTATTATGATGTTCTTCTTAAAAGTAAACCGAGGTGACTCGCACAGACAAAGCATTTCAATCACAATCCTTTCCTTGTAACCTTAAATTAACCCAACACAAAGGCATTTCAAGAAAGAGACCTGTAAATCCGTATCTATATGCTTGATAGTAGGGATGATTCAATTTAATACGACTATATGGTGTTACAATTAATCGGCCTTGATGCAAACTGAACATAAACATGATGAACTTAGGCAGATAGATATGTGTTTATGACAATACAGTACTTGCTAGACCATTTATCTCCATGTTTTGTTTTTGAATCTACCATGCCTTTGGTAGATTTATAGACACCGTGTAGCTAGTTACCTGTTTGGGCTTCACTCTTTATTGATCAATATTCTCACTTGTTAAAAATCCTGAGTACCAGTTTCTTTATTGGTGCTGCATTAGCTCAGCAGAATAAGAATGAACTCTGCTTACTGAATATAAATGTTCCTATAGACTTCAATGGAGGAACTGCTGTTTAGTAAGTAGAGTAACCAGCAAAGTGTATTTAGATAAGAGAAAAGACTTTGATTGTTAACGGGTTAAACAAAAATCATTTAGTCGTAATAATTAAAAAAAAAATATTAGTGACAAAATTCAAGACAAAATGCTGGAGAAACAATATTGTTTTTATTTTTTATTTTTTTAGAAATCAATAAGGACTCCATTCCAGTCTTGTCACTTATATTTACCAGCCAGCACCTACTCACTACCAGCTGAGCTGCATGTGGTTAATAACAGACATTATTAAAAAAATATAGCAACAAAGTTGGAAACATCTTTATAAGTAACAGCCAGTAGGTAGTAGCAGCTTCTATTTACGAGTCACCAGTTATTTATTCACAAGGTTGGAAACAAGCCTTAAGAGTTTATTAGGTAATTTAAAATGTATGAACAAATACAGCCAGGTTACTAAAATTATTATCCACTAATGTGTATACATTATTTAATTATTAAAAAATATGGTTCCTATACATAGGGATTCCCAGTGAACAAAGACAATGCCTTCTATAAGGCGCCGAGAAGATGCCTTCTCGGCATCTTCTCGGCGCTATTGTTCTTTGATACTTTACAGTATTCAGTCCTTTTTAAGAAAAACAAGTCAGACATTTATTGACCGTTATTTGACACATTCTGGCTACAAAAATGCATGATTAACCTTGTTAAATCTGGGAGAAATAATTGCTAATAGTACAGCACAGTTATGCTCTTTGAATACTCCCATTGTCTCTCTTTTATTGGTATATGTTTTTTTGCCACAAAAATCTTTGTTCATTGGTAAGTCTTCTATTTAGGAACCACCTTGTAATGAATATTAAAAACTCAATTTTTATGGGTGATTCCAAGTATGATTTATTGTGTGAATAGTACAGATATGGATTGATCATGTTTATCATTTTGGAAAAATAAGCTTACTTTACAAATTCTATCTGTATGTTTTTATTTGTTTTTTAATGTTCAAATGATATTTGTATAAGTGTATGGAATATATACTTTATCTCACTGCCCTTACTCCTAAAGGCTCAGTAAAGCTCAAATATCACCTTTTTTACTAGACTCATTGGCCTGGATTTTCTTTGGTTTAAAAGGACACTGTAATCACTGAGAATGATTAATCTAATAGTGTCTGGAGTCTATTGATGCTGCCTTTCCATCCAGTGTTACACAGTTTTTAATATATATATTTTTTTTAAACAAGGGTCCCCATTCTGTGTGTGCTGCTTGGGCTGAGGAGGAAGTATTAGCCTGAGCAGCAATGGACAGCTTTGATTGGCTAACTTTCAGGCTCTCACAGTGTCCATTGTCAATATGAAATAGAATGGCTAAAAGGATGTAGAGGTGGGTTTATGGACAGCCACCTCAGTCAGTATTAAACTGTTTGATTACATAGTGGTAGAGCCTACAGTGTCCATTTAAGGGTAAGGGGTTTACTCTGCTTAAAGAACAGTAATTCCTCAAATGAAGTCTATGGGCAATTTGCAATTTAGTAAGAAGAGTAAACCTTTATTCTGCTAAGTGAATTCAGCCCAATATGTGTAACTTGCCTGATCCCAGTTGTCATTAAGGTGACATAGTGAGTGGGGGCAATCATTTTACTTCTCTGTTGCAACTAAAACAAGTGAGCTGGATTTTAAATAATTTCAACTTTAAGAAATTGTCATAATTTCTTACACTACATTTACACAATAATATTTTTAAATGAGCCACATTAGAAAAAGAAAACCACAGCCTATCTGATATAGGTTAACAATTTTATTGTGTAATAAACAAATACATGTTTTACTTGTTAAATGTAAAAGGCTTACATATGCCCATATTTCATCATTAACAGGGGGATGGTGGCAGAGTTTCAGAGATGTCCAAAAGATGTTAAGGTTCTAATATCAATGGTGCAAAAGCTAATGACTTGTGCAGATACTTGATTTTACAAAAAAAGCCCTACATTGGAGTAATATAGTCTTTAAAATGGAGGACTATAGTCTTTCAAATGAAACAAACTTTTCCTTCGTAAGTGAATAGCAGATCTATAAGTGACATCTATGGATACACCAATATAAAATTACCAGTGATATGGTTGTCTCTTAAAATATATTGTGGCCTGGGCTAGTGCTTCACTCATGGTGACTGGAGAACTGACTTGTAGTTCAGTTTTAATCCCCAATTTGTCATCATACCCGAACTTTTCTCATTTTTTAATTCGTTACATATATATATATATATATATATATATATATATATATATTAAACTAATTAAAAAAGAGTGTTTATATAACAAATTAAACAAACTATATATATATATATATATATATATATATACATAATTATAAATCAAATGATATATGAAAGAGAGAGACAGAGAAGAGAGAGAACCTTTGCCCTGGAATATATTATTTTTACATTAATAATTAAAGTACGCTGTTACCATATGGTTGTTTGTCGTTGTCTATAATTGTAAGACGTGAATAGGAACAATGTAAAACAAAGTGCATAAACCATCATATATATCAGTCAGTGTTTTAAAAAAATAGAAGGCTGTATGTTAATGTGATAGAATTTTTGGTACATTTGAATTAGCCACTCACCACCTGTGTTCTGTAATAATGTTTTCACTGCTCATTAGTTTTGCAGGTACCTTCTGTGTAAGAAAGATGTGGGATTAGGGAAGGAAGTGAAACTCAGAGGGTTGAAGGGGTTTTTGATTTCTGTTGTTCACACTAATTTCAAGCTTGCTATGTGTGGTACATGTACATTCTTAGTACCAGCTAAGGCTAGTTTCATTCATTTTGGTTGTGGCGCACTAAACATGACCTTTTAGGGCTATAGCTTTGACTATAGGGGTGGATGCTGTTTGCATCAAGAGTGAATGAGAACTTTAAAGGGGAACTGTCGTTTTCCAGGGTTTTTAATATTATGTTTACTTTACCCTATATTTAAAGGGACACTCCAGGCACCCACTTGGTGCCAACTCTCACTACCCTTAACCCTGCAAGTGTAATTATTGCAGTTTTTTATAAACTGCGATAATTACCTTGCAGGATTAACTCCTCTAGTGGCGTGTCTATCGCTGGACGTCCTCACGCTGTGTGAGGACCTCCAGCGTCGCTTAATTCTCCCTAGGAAAGCATTGAAAAGGAATTTCAATGCTTTCATATGGAGAGCTCTAATGCTCGTTTGCGGCATTGCCGCGCATGCGCATTAGGTCTCCCCGGCTGGCGGGCAGGATCAGTCTCGCCCACCGGCTGACGGCGGGGGTCTCAGGTAAGTGACAGAAGGGGTTTTCACCTCTTCAGCAACCGGGGATGGGAGGTGGGAGGGAGAGGGGACCTGCAGTGCCAGGAAAACAGATTGTTTTCCTGGCACTGGAGTGTCCCTTTAACAAATGTTTTTGTGAGCTAAAAATAAAATTAAATGTAGAAATTCCCATCTCTGTATCTTGCAAATGGGTGCCTCCATTGTAGGTCCATGTCAATCAATGTTATCATTTTTGTCCTCTGCACTTGACATTCAGCATAAAGAAAGCAGATATAGAGGAGGTGAAATGAAACAATGATTTTTATTTTTCATTAGCAATGTGTGCTCTTTCTTTACTATTAATTAAAGTGAAAACTGAGCATCGATGTTTCAATTTGTGGTGTAACTTCCACAAATAACTGGTAACTTTAAAAATAACTTTCTCAGCTGTAGCTACCTAATTACCTAGTCACCCAAAACATAGCTTGATAGCGTGGTAATTTCCCAAATAAGAACAGAAAACAGAAAATGAGTGGTCGATGGCTAACTAAAAAGTGTACACAATTTTCTTTATCCCAAATATGTTTTGCATAATAGATAGCACTGTCATCTAAAAATGTATTTCCATAAATCAATTTAAAACAATAATGAAAAAGATTAATATTATTGTCATACAAGCAATCTATAGAACATTTATCTGGAATTGTCAGTGTTTAAAGATGGAGGTTGAAATTCAGTCTCACAATTTTCTAACCCTCTTTGGCAGTTACCACGAAATAAACAAGGCTGCAGAGTGCATGTGGAATCAGAAGCTAGTGGAATCCTTTGAGTAGCAAGTTTGCAGTTTACTGTGCTGGAAACAGGAAATGTTTCTTGAGCTCTTAGATAATACTGTCCAGGTTATTCCCTTAACTTGTAATTATCGTGAAGTCTATGCAAACAGAAAAATTAAGGAAAATAAGCTCATCTGAAAATATTTGCCTCCTCATCCATAGTTGCAATTTGGCTATTTTACCCTCAATTTTACCATTAATTCTCAAAAACTATGTGTGCTGTTATAAGTGCCAGGAATTCAATTTGAATGAAATATAATTTCAAGATTAAAGTGACCCTCCACTGTCCAAATACAAAAATAAGTATCACTGTTTAGTAGATATAATCCCATTAAAAACATATAAATTTGGCAAATAATTTTTTCATTTTGTTATATTTAAAAACCGCTTGCAAGCCCTGCCCTTTTTCCCCACTCCAGACTTTCTGTGGCTATCTAATTATGGACTTCCTGCAGCTAAATGCAAGGCAACTGCTCTGAGTTATTGTCTGCCTCTTACATTTCGCTACACTGAGCTAAACAACCAGAAAGAGGACCAGTTGTCTAACAGCTAGGGTTTAATTTATAAAAGTGCCATTTTTTTATTGGAATCTGTACTTTTTGTAAAATAAGGACTCACTCCTTACATATATAGCTCTTCAGCAAGCTAAGATGCTTAAAGTGACGGGAGTGTCTCATTAAGGCTAAAAAGCTAAACTAGTAAAAATTCTCCAAGTCATCTATGTTTCCACTTGGACTATTTTGGCCTAAATTTTCAAATTCACTTTGAATTCATTATGAATGCATAGCAATTCTCACCTTAGAGAATAACATTTTCAGAGTTTAGAGAATAAATACCCACAGATAGCTATACATTTTTTTTTTTTAATTTCTTTTAGAAATAAATATATATCTTAAATAGATTAAAAAATGATCAACACAAACAAGGTAATTTACTAAAGTGTCAATTGTTGGGAACTAAAAGGAACTTCTTAGTTAATTTCAAAGTCTTCAAGTCAACTATGTTTTAAATTCATCTATTTTCGCCAAAAATTAAAATTTTGCTTTGAATTCCTGACCAAGTCACATTTTGGTGAATAACTATGAAAGTTTACAAAGTTTTATTAAACGTCATGTAATGGTTCATATACCATTCCTGATGGTAACATCGCTATCAAAATATATATTAAACAGTTGTTTCATAAGTTGATATATGAAATTCAAACACAAGCATTGCATGTGTGATCTGGAGAATGATGGAATTTTTCAGCTTGTATATTAGTTGCATGAATTTGATATAATTTGACAATTGATACAGATTTATGTTGCAACACGAATATATGAAATACGACTGCATAAGTATAGCTTTCAAATTCACATTCATTTTATTGAACGTCATCATTTCTCTCTGACGAACAATACCTTTTATAATGAATTTAGAATTACAGAACTATTGCTCAAATTAAATTTGTTTTTTGATGTTGTGGACTCTCAGCAGACTCCCAATATATATGTGTCTGTTTGCTTTTTAAATTCAAGAAGGCATGTATTGATGAAAGAATGAGCAGACAGGCGATTGCCTGCTTATGGGAGCTTGCATGTTACCATAGCTACATTATTTACTTAATATGATAAAATGAACATCTACAGATGTAATGGGGAAAATGGGGATTGACAGCTTAGATTCATTCACCCAATGACAGCAACATAAATAAAAAGCAGATTTTGATCCTGTGGTTTAGAATAATGCTACCTACATATTAATTAAAAGTAGTTTACAAGGGTAATTTATGACTGAAAACATTTGCCCAACTGCCTGCTTTTGTTTTATTTATATAAAGTCTAGTATATGCATTTCTTCTTAAATCACGTACTTCAATCTATAAATCTGCTCATCCTTCTACCATTGGCCACTATGTATAAACATTGTATTCTATTGAATACATCTGGTAAACATTCCAAGTATTTTGTTAGTTAACAAAAAGTGAAATTGTCCTGGGCTACCATCAAATTGTCCTGGGCATTTGAATATATACCACTTTCTGAAATGACAGCAAGACTAAACAGTTTTTTCCAGTGCTATATAATTATCCATACCACAGTATTAGTTCCTGAGTCTTTGGTAAAATATTCACTTTGTCATTTTCATGTTGACACAGTACCATATAATTAAAAGGTTGCTGGGAGGGACTGCAACATATGTGTATATAGAACCTTCTCAATAGGGTTAAGGTTAGATATGTAATTATCCTACTTGATCCGACTAAGTACTGCAAGTCCTTTAAATGTCATTTGGGAGACTTGATGGGTCACTGATAAAAGCTATTACAGTCATCCTCTTCTGGATATGACAATTCTTGGTGTCTTTGGATGCTATTATCCTGTATCTTGTCCAACTGTGGCTCTACATCTTATATAATGTTATATTTTAAATCCACCTAATTCCACCATTATCCACCTAATGTGTCCAACCACAGACATCAATAATAGGCTATGAGTGCTGTGGGTAACTTAGCCCACCATGTGCAGACTATCACCAGATTGTTTTGGGAGTATTATGTGGAATTGAAACTTCCCCAATATCACACTGACAGCCAAGAGACACAATTCATTTTTTTAATCAAACCATAAAAATAGCTTAACAAAATATTGGAAGAAAGAACTCAAAGCCTAGCTGCAAATAACAAATGGTAGTGTACTTTTAATATAAAAAAAAAAAACTGTCTGGGTCAAATGTTTTGGCTAGTACTATTTTGATATCTCGTTTTGTAGCTTACTTTTCATGGAGATCACTCCCTCTGGAGACAGATGCTGAGCAAAAGTTGGTATTGCTGTATATAAAACCAAATCTGACTATCCAGATTTATAAAACTGACTTAACTAATTTATAAAAACAAAATCTGAATATCCAGAAGATGAATAAGGGCAAGTTAGAAATTGTGCTCTCTCATATAAGAAAGCCAGTATTTCTATATTGGGTGAAAGATCAATTGGGTAGCATGCATATATAAAGAAAAAATTAAATATGACAAAATAAACAGAGTCCTGGTGTGTAGCCAAAAAAGTCCCAACACACTCTAAACACCTGTGTGGTATGCTCTCTACCCACACTAATAAAGACTATACATACATACAATAGGCGGAGCTTGTTGGTTCTTGGGTAGATGGTTTAGGTGATATGAAAATATATAATAATGCAAGCTGAAAAAATAAAGGAGATAACCAAATCATAGTGTAATATTGTCAAATACAGAAGTATGAGTTAAGAAAAATCTCTAGTCTTGTACTCACAAGGATGGAGCCAGTGTCACTAGGCTTAATATGTAGGCATGTGGAAACATTTGTGGAGATCCCACTCCCTTTTTGTGCGCCTGTTGGTTTAATGCCCTCTGGTCCACCTCACAGATCCCCCTGGACGTCAAGTAAAGTACAAAAGATATTTTATTGACGACAAAATAAAACAAATCAAATCAATATAAAGTCAGTTTCTGGTATTACAAAGGAAGTGGGATCCCTACAAATATTTCCACATGCCTACATATTGAGCCAAATGACACTGGCTCCATCCTTGTGAGTACAAGACTAGAGATTGTTTATTTACTCATACTTCTGTATTTGACAATATTGCACTAGGTTATCCCCTTTGTTTTTTCAGCTTGCATCATTACATATTTCCATATCCCCTAAAATCATCTACCCAAGAACCAACAAACTCTGCCTATTGCATGTATGTATAGATATATAGAACACCCTGGTAAGTGTTGAGGATTTTGAATAACTATTAAGATCACGTTATACATGTGTACACATATGTGTATTTTTTCTGATGCTGCATTATCAAAGTGAGAAGAATAAAAGTTTTTTTTCTTAATTTTGACCTTTTACCTGCAGTTTGAATACTAATCTGCTAATATGTCTGTGCATTTGTCTATTTGACAACAAATTGGTTAAAAAAACAACTTTGAAAACCTGTTATCAACTTTTTGGTACTGTACTGATGCAAGATTATTATTTCTTTCTCAGAATCTAAAGTGGCACTGTCACTAAAACAGTATTGCTGGCTGGGTTTCCATTTAAAACAATAAACACAGCAGATTAATATTATAACCATTAGCCCTCAAGTAGTAAGATAATAGTTTTCCAGGCTGGAAATGGCTATTATGGTAATTATTTTATATTCATTAAACCAGCAGTGAGATTTACAGATAAAAATGGGTGATATATCAGCAGCCAATCAAAATATGTGTGCTGTGTTCACACCATGTTTGCTAGAAATCTTATATTTATCTTTTGGTTTTTTTTTTAAATAATTTATATAATGCTTAACAGATTTTTAAGTGATCAACTTTAGGTATAAGATGTTTTAAAACTTCTATATGTTAATGTATAGACAAGTTCTGATGACAGTGCCACCAGCTACCTTGTGTGGTTTTAGAGATGCAAATGTAACAAATGCAATAAATAAAGAATATTACATCTGATGCCTGTATACACTGACATTATAGACAGTCCTTCATTGCGATACCCCTACCAGCAGAAGTATATTTCTTTAATAGTCGTAGTGGACGAATGCGCTTGGCTGATGTATGGATCTATTATCTTGTGTCACATAATATTTGTTTCACTGTGTAACAGCCCGTTTCTAAACATTACATAAAAGACAAAGGGAAATAACTATGATCAAGAACCAAGTGTAATATGAAAAGCAAGAAAACAATGCCTTTTGCTTTAGTGATAACAAAAAAATGGTTTTGTGCTGCTTCTATGTCACTGTCTATGGTTTGCCATGTGCTCCTTTACACTTCTGGTTTACCATATCCATTATTGAATTGTACAACTTGGGTAGGTTACTAAACAGCAAGTTGTTGTTCTTGACTATCATTTTGCAAATTTTCAAACAAAATAGCTGAGCAATAAAAAAAAAATCTAAATATTTTTTAGTCATTTGGGATTTTTTACGCCTCAGCTGTTTTGATTTATATTTTGCAAGCTCTTTGGCAGCTTGCCACAACTTTCTGTTTTGTGTATAAATTAATTAGTTGTATATTTTTCAGCCACAGTAAAGTGAAATTGTGCGGTTTTCCTACGTAATCATGTACATTAACCTGAAGGAACATATGCAAAAAAAAAAATTATTAAAATAAATAAATATATATATATATATATAATACACTACGCATCACTCAAACTTGTGCACAAATTCATTTCAGGTGGTATGCCCGAATGAATCAATACGTAGTATATATTAGTAGTATAAGGCTCCACAAGTAGATCCAGGGTTCGTTTGTAGCAGCTGAAAAGAATTGTGCACAAGTTTATTTACTAGACTTGTGCACAAATCTTTTTTCAGCTTTTTTGAACAAATCAAATGGGTATCAATCTATCGCCGAACGTATCAATTTGTTAGGTAAATCCCAGACAAATCAATATGTTTGTCTATTGATTGACAGGCATTCGATTTGTTCAACGCAGCTGAAGGGAGTTTGTGCACAAGTCTACTAGTTACTATTTCCCATTAAATTTAAACAGTAAACTCAATCACATGGGCTTGCACTGCATGGCAGGCCTGAAACAATCCACAGTAATTAAAAGAACAGGGGTTTATTCACAGACAATGAGCTGTGGTAAATTGATCACAACATTTTGATGGAAACATAACAGTTGGAAAAATAGCTGAACTGAGGAACTTTTCCATCCTGTCTAATATGACATAAATGTTTCAGCTTTGTTGTAAATTTAGCTCAGCTCCTTGTTGCGTTAATAAACCATTCTCTGTCCTCTTCAATAAACTACTGCAATATTATTCTCAATAAGCAGGACATTTATTAAAGCCTTCCTTAGTAATGTTAATTTTGAACATACACTTCTAAAAATAACTGTACACTTTTATATTTGTTTTACCCACCTTTGTGTTCTTTAATCTTTTTCCCCTTAGTTTTTGCCAACAAATATAAACAATACCAAACAGGCTTAATGTGAAAAGTAAAAAAAAAAAAATATATATTTTGTTTTGTTGAAGAGCTTCCAAATATTGTTGTAGATATTTGGCAATGCTTGCGCAATTTAGAAAAAAAAAAAATGAAAAATTTAATTTATTGCTTAATGACCTAATTTATTAATTTGAGTATTACATCAAATTTTATTCCAAAAATACATGTTATTTGAGAGAGTGTTCTTTGTGTAAGAAAGTAAATGTAAGAATGTAGAATCAAACCCACAAAAAAAATTTCAGATAATCTATACACATACATACAAAAAAAAAAAAAAACCATAGATGTATTCATGAAAGTGTTTGACAATTTTCTCATTTCAACTTATAAAACCTATCAGGTGAAACATGATTTATTATTTTCATATTTTGAAAAAATGTAGAATGGTGAATTTTTATTATGTGCTGTATTCACTACACATTTTACTTTGGTTCCTGTTATGCTTTTGTAAAAGAAAAGCAGATACGATTGAAGCATACATGGCGCTAGGAGTTAGTTCGCAGTATGGCAATTTGCTTCTTTACTTAAGAAAAAAAAATGTAAAATGGTTTCATGTAAATTGACTCTTTGCAGCACAATAATAAAACAAAAAAAATGTTAAAATAAATCCTTTCTTTATTTCTTTACTGCATTATATTCAGTTTGAATAAAAAAGTCTAAACTTGAATTCTGTATGTGTGCTTAATTGTTTAAATATGTTGGCCCTCGGTAGAGATGAGAAACCTCCTGGTCACTTTGTCCACCCATTAAGCGAAATAACAAACACAAACTCAACAGTAGAAAACTGAAGAAACCAAAAAAGATTGAGACCTGAAATATAAAATTGAATAGAATCCACAAATGTATACATATAATCTAGAAATGCTAGATACACTGCTTATTTATTATCTTATTGTTTTATGGTTTCACACTATGTACTGCTTATATATTCTCTTCTAGATGATCTGTATACATTTGTGGATTCCCTATGATAATTCCTATGAATCTTGAAAAGGACACTATAATCACCAGAACAACCACAGCTTATTGTATTTGTTTATCTAGTGTGTTAAACAGTTATGTGTTGGTTTTAGTTTTTATTTTATACATATATCTATAAACCAGATTTATCTTCTCTTTCTCATTTACATAGTATGCCAGGACATATATGATTGTGATGTCTTGCTAAGTATTTAATATAAATGTAGATTTAAAATGAAGGAACATATAAAAACATAAGTTGTATGTGATTTTCAATGTTTTATTCTGTAGCGCAAATTTCATAAAAGTTACTGATTCCCTTTAAATGGGGTGTGGGTCGATAGCTTTAAGGGTTTGATCAAGGCAGAACATTTTCAGATTGGATACATTTGAAATATTTATCCTTTACTCTTTATGGCACATCCATCTTGATCTGACATAAATCAACATTTTTGCTATTGGCTTTCTTTAAAAGTCCACATGAAAAGTGAAAAACATCAAAGCGACCAAAAATAAAGTTGTGTGAATAAAATGTCAAAATGTATTAGTGTAGGACCTGGAAGAATATAGTCAGCTTTAGTGCTTGTGGTGACAACAGTCCCTTGGTCATGTCACTGGTAAAGGATCAAACTGGTCAAACCAGTCCTTACTGTCTCCTCAATTCAGCTAAACTAGAAGTTCTATTTCTGCTTTAGCTATATCAGTTTTTGCAACTTTTAACAGCATTTATAGGCTAGAATTATAGCAACATGATTGAAAATAGAAAGGACTAACAGAGCATATTACTGAGTCTTAGGATGGTCTTTGTATTACAGACCTGAGAGAGAGAGTTAATAGATTATAGCATATCCAAAGTTAAGAAATCTAGAGATATACAATTATAACAGAACTAGCAAGAGACAACAACAGAGCACAGGTATTCAGCAAATGTTTCTTTTATAGTCTTGTGTTCAGTTGGGGCCCAGATGTAATTCAGTTGGGCCAAAACACTTTTGAGCACATATTACATAGTTACATAGGCAGAAAGAAGACTTGTGCTCATCAAGTTCAGCCTTGTGCACAACTGTTTCTGTTGTAGATCCAAAAGAAGGCAACAACCCCAGTTTGAAGCTCTTTACAATTTTTCAACAAACATGCCTATTTCAAGATAATTTATAAATAACTTGAAATGAAGTGGTCCCAGAACACACTATTTACCACTATTGCCCAGCTTGAAAATGTACCATTAATGACAACTCTCTATTCTCTATGATTAAGCCAATGATCTACCCAAGAACAAGCATTTTCATTTAGACCAATTTATTTTACTTTGAACACTAGCCTATTGTGTGGAAACATATTGAACACCTTTGCAAAATCCAAGTAGATCACATGCACTGTAACACCCTATTCTATACATCTACTTGCTACTGCAAGTTAATTTGGCATGATCTATGTTTAATAAAGCCTTGCTGACCATACTGATTTCTGCTAATGGCACTGTTGTTCCCAATGAATTCCTGAATATTATCCCTTAACAATCATTCTAATACTTTCCCAGCCACATAAGTTAAACTCACAAGTCTATACTGTCAAGGCAAATATTGTTAATCCTTTTTTGAATATAGGGACCACATCAGCCTTTTCCAATCCTCCAGTAAGTTTCCTAAAATAGTGAAAATAGAGGTTTGCTTATTTTAACACTTAGTTCCTTAAGTGCTCATGGGTGAATACCATCTGGTCCTTGGACTTTGTTTACATTGTTTCTGCCGCATCTTGTATTGAGTCCTCCAATGTGGAAGCATCAGTCTGGCACTGCCATTAGAGACGGCACCAGGGGGCAGAGAAGTTTCCAGAGCCCTGCCATCTAATAAGTTCAGAAAACAACACAGATGCACTCGTAATTTGAAGTATAACCCATACTTTAACAGGCTTTTTCAGGAAAGTCAGAATTCAAGGGGGTGGAGCCTAGCAGTGCTCCAGCACAGATGCCACTACTAATAGTCCCTGACCTTCCAAGTTGAAAAGTGCCTTTTATGCTGGAAGTGTTCCCCATCCAATTGTTGTATTACCTTTAGGGCAGGCTTGCACAACCTCCAGCCTCCAGATGTTTTGAACAACAACTCCCATGATTCCCTGGCTGTCTGTTTCATTCAAAGAATCATAGGTGTTTTAGTTCAAAACATCTGGGGGGCTGCAGGTTGTGCAGGCCTACTTTAGGGTGAACAATTCAATGTCTTTCTTTTTTTCCAGGGTGGTAAAAAAAAAACAACTGTATCCTTAGTGCCTACTTTGCAAGTGGCCTACGGGTCAAGGCAAACATTAGCAGAGGTCCAATGAAATGGAGTGAATAGTCCCCTACTGGTGCTGACACTTATGCTCAGGGCCGCCATCAGGGGGTGACAACCATAACGGTTGTCACGGGCCCAGCGGCCCTGGGGGGCAAAGACATGTAGCGGCGGAACTGCCGCTGGTGCACTTGCACCGGGGCCCACACGCTGATGGGGCATATCGGATGGCCCATGCACTTAGAGCCACCTGATGGGCCCTATATCTTCATGGGCCCGGTCAGCGCTGTGGCCGTGGTATAGCGCGACCGGGCCCCTTTAAAAAAAAAAAAAGCCGCAGCAAGTGCTGCTGGGAGGAAGTGGCCACTTCCTCCCAGCTCACTCCACTCGGGAGGACCGCAAGCCAGGCAGTGAGGGAGAGCCATGCCGACTCCTATCAGCCCCAGCCACCCTCCTGAAAAGAAAAGGTAAGAGACAGGAGGGTGGCTGGAAAATTAGCTTTTTGTGTATGCATGCATGCATGTCTGTCGGTCTGTATGTATGCATGCATGTATGTATGTATGTATGTCTGTCTGTATGTATGTCTGCATGCATGCCTGCATGCATGTATGTCTATGTATGCATGTATGTCTGTATGTATGTCTATGTATGTATATATGTATGTATGTATGTATGTCTGTATGTCATTATGAATGTATGTCTGTCAGTATGTATGTTATTATGTATGTCATTATGAATGTATGTCTGTATGTATGCATGTATCAATGTATGTCATTATGTATGTCTGTCAGTACGTATGTATATATGTCTGTATGCAAGTATCAATGTATGTCATTATGTATGTATATATGAATGTATGTATGTATGTATGCCAGTATCAATGTATGTCTGTATGTCATTATGTATGTATATATGTATGTCAGTATGAATGTGTGTCTGCATATCATTATGAACGTATGTATGTGTGTATGGATGTCTGTATGCATGTCTGTCAGTATGTCTGTATATATGCATGTATGTCAGTTTGTATGTATGTATGTCTGTATGCCATTATGAATGTATGTCTGTGTATGTCTGTATGCCATTATGAATGTATGTGTGTATGGATGTCAGTGTCTGTATGTCTGTCAGTATGTCTGTATGTATGAATGTATGTATGTCTGTATGTGTGTATGTATGTCGGTGTCTGTATGTATGTCAGTGTGTATGTATGTATGTGTCTTTATGTCCTCATGCATGTGTGTCTGTATGTATGTTAGTATGTGTCTGTCTGTCACTATGTATGCCTGTATGTCTCAGTATGTGTGTGTCAGTATGTATGCCTGTATGCGTGTATGTCTGTTTCAGTATGTGTGTCTGTTAGTATGTATCTGTGTCCTTTTGTATCAGTGTGTGTGTTTGTGTCTGTGTGTGTATTCCTGTGGGCGGTATTTGGAGGCGAACCCTGTGGGCGGTATTTGGAGGCGGGCCCCAGACCCTGATCTGAGTTAGGGGCCCCAAAATCTCTGGTGGCGGCCCTGCTTATGCTCTCACTGGTGATGGAGATGGGTTGTACATCTCAAAAGCATCTTCTGTCTACCGCCTAGAATACCTGTGATATAGTTCTCTACACTGCGCAAAAAGGCACTGCTCTGTTGGATGACGGTAAGGCAGACGAGGTCTTGTCTAATACACTGGCCCCTGCTACCGACACAATGTTTGTCAGCATTTCGGGAAATAGTCCAATAACAACTACCACAGTCCCTCAATATATAATTTTGTATTACCACATGCATGTAGACAAGTAATGTTTAATAAAGTCTGTGTGACGGAATGCTGGCACTCTGACTGAGTACCTCCGCCAATCGATGCTCCGAGTGCTTGCCAAGGACTCCAACCGACACCATCAGCACTGCAGACCCCACTACTAGTGATGCAGCTGCACTGGAGTCTTGCCGTCTTTCACCCACCCTGGACCCAAGGCCAGGATCCAGCTTCCAGTGGGCAGGCCTCTCTTCTTCCAGAAAGCGTAGCAGGAACAAGAACAGCTTACCCTGGGGAATATAGTGTGAATATAGCAATCCCCAAGAGTGTAGTTATCCCATCCCCCAAACATGAGCCAAGACTTCAAGAAAGGGTCAAGCAGGTCTGTTTAATCAGCACCAAAGGGCTTTCTTTTATGCAGGTTTTTACACAAAGTTACCACCCGCCTGGTCTTGTGGAACAGCCAATCAAACACATGATAATAAGGTCAAACACTCCCATTCATTCCAGAAAAATCCTCCCCTCTGCCTATGATAGAATTACTATATACAATGGGCCTAATGTAATTATCACAGGCAGGAAAATAGTTTTTATACAATGCTTAGAACTTTAAACGTATACATTCAATTTACATAAAAGTCACATATTCTGAACCAGCACAAGCAGTACACAAACATATGTCAAAATCATACAAATTGGTCCAGTGGTTCAAACGTTTAGCAAGGGCTGATGAGAGATTGAGGAGGGACAAAGCAGCCAGTTACAACTGGTCTGGCAGTGTCCCTGGGACAATGCCCTGCTAGAGAACAATGGGACAGGAAAACAGGGGAGGGGAAGAGGCACATTCTCCCATGGAATCAAAGGGGCAGAAAAAGTGTTTCAAAATCCAATATGCCCAAATAATGTTTTTAAATGGCAATATCTCCCAGGGGCCATAGTCACAAGGCAGGAGGCTAGTAATTAGTCCTCTCCAGACACAAGTGGCGAAGGGCACTTCGTCACAGTCTGCATGTCAGGGGAAAGTGCCATATTAGTTCAAGACATATGGTCTCACATTCTTTCATGATCTTAGTATATCCACTCCGCTCTGGCAGACATCTGAGCATCCTATTACCACTATAATCCAAGAAGCAGGACTTGCTTACCATTGGCCTGCTCCTTATTGCCTTGCAATCATCAAGGATGGGAAGACGTTTACAGCTAATATTTCAGTCGAGGTCCCCTTTCTTATGACTCTTGGCCTTGGAGATTCCTAACTAAAGTCGATTAGACCCATTCCCAACCACACTTGGGACATTATTAGAGTGGAGCCTTTTGTCCCTTGACAATGACAAGACCAGTGACATAAATGTATAGAATTTGTTTTGCTAACTAGCACAGTTCTTATTCAGCTTCCATTTTTTTTTAATAATCTCATGGTTTCGCCTCTTGCACTGTAATACCACCAAACAGTCTTGATGGAGTGCTGTTTCTGTTGTGCTGATATTATAAGGCTTTCTACCTTTCTTAGATGTAAAGTTAAATATCTGCATCATCTGCATCATATGTACCACATGCAAAAATATAAAATAAAAATAAGTGAGAATTCAAAGTGAATTTCAATTTTAAGGTCAAGCTAGCCAAACTGGAAAACGTATCTAAATCAACTTTGCTTTCAGTTTGGCTACTCTTTCCTTATATTTGACATTCGTTGTGATTTCTCTTTGGAATCTCAGTTTAGTAAATAAATCTGATAGTAAAACAGTATTTCATTTTATGTGTGAATATTTACATAACTAGTTAAAGTTTTGCCTAGTGAGACAGTTATCATTTCATCTCTCTGTATTGTCATTTTACAGGTATAAAAACACATTTCTATACACTTGAATGATAACATATATTAATATCATGATATATCCGTTATTAACAAAGCAAAACAAACTTCTAATGTTATCATCATCAAGTGCTGAGCATGACTGAAAATAGTGAATAAAATTTACAGAAAGGGTAAGTGTAGTGTAGATAATTATCCAGGGAATTGCACATTTTAGGTCAAAATAGCAAAACTGAAAAATAATCCAAGTCAAATTTGTTTCCATCTTAATTTATTTTGACCATAGATATACAATTCTCTTGTGATTTATTGAAATTTCATGATTTAGTGCAGGGCTTCCCAACCCAGTCCTTAAATACTCCCTAACAGTCCAGGATTTAGGGATTATCCATTTCTGTCCAAAGTGTTTTTTTTTTCTTTTTCTTTCTTTCTAAAACAACTTAGACACTACTGGGTAATGCCTAAATCCTGGACTGTTAGGTTGTACTTGAGGACTGGGCTGGGAACCAGTGGTTAAGTGAATAACCCTAACAGTATTTTAATAAAAATGCAAATTATGGCACATTTATTTCCAAGACATTTTTGTGAACGGGGAGTCACTGATTTGCTGAGAGTGTCAGCTGACCATGCTCAGCCAATCAGGGGTGCCCCTGTCCGGCGATACTTTGCGATTTGAGAATCTGAAAATTCAGAAGCAGGATGCCGCTGGGGGAGGAGTGGACATCGCCTCTGGAGGCAACATTTGGGTTAAACCGTCCGATAATGGTTTAGCCCCTTTACTTAAGGGTGCCTCCAGGGGCCCTGCTGGTACCTTATCAATTTAATTTGAATGAAACTGCTTTGGTGCCTGTAGTGCCCCTTTAAATCACATAAGCTTTGTTTTGATAACAGATCAGGTACTTTTGGTCCTGGAAATTCTAATACCAAATGTCCCATCTGAGAGTGAAAATAATTAACCTTGATTTTCCTGATTTGCATGACCCTTATAACCTCTACGTACCTCTCATTATTATATATTTTAAAAGGTCAATCATACAAACGTGC